CCAGACAAAGACACTTCAAAGAAAGAAAACTACAGACCAATATCTCTAATGAACCTAGATGCAAAAATCCTCAAAATTCTGGCGAATCGGATACAAAAACATATCAAAAAAATTGTGCACCATGATCAAGTAGGATTCATCCCTGGGATGCAAGGCTGGTTCAATACATGGAAATCAATAAATGTTATTCACCACATCAATAGACTTAAAAATAAGAACCATATGATCATCTCGATAGATGCGGAAAAAGCATTCGACAAAGTACAGCAAACCCTTTATGTTCAAAACTCTAGAAAAACTAGGGATAACAGGAAAATACCTCAATATTGTAAAAGCAATCTATGCTAAGCCTCAGGCTAGCATCATTCTGAATGGAGAAAAATTGAAGGCATTCCCTCTAAAATCTGGAACAAGACAGGGATGCCCTCTCTCACCACTTCTGTTCAACATAGTTCTCGAAACACTGGCCAGAGCAGTTAGACAGACGAAAGAAATTAAAGGCATAAAAATAGGAAAAGAAGAACTTAAATTATCACTATTTGCAGGTGACATGATTCTATACCTAGCAGACCCAAAAGGGTCTACAAAGAAACTATTAGAGCTAATAAATGAATTCAGCAAAGTGGCAGGATATAAAATCAACACGCATAAATCAAAGGCATTCCTGTATATCAGCGACAAATCCTCTGAAATGGAAATGAGGACAACCACTCCATTCACAATATCCTCAAAAAAAATAAAATACTTGGGAATCAACCTAACAAAAGAGGTGAAAGACTTATACAATGAAAACTACAGAACCCTAAAGAGAGAAATAGAAGAAGATCTTAGAAGATGGAAAAATATACCCTGTTCATGGACAGGCAGAACTAACATCATCAAAATGGCGATATTACCAAAAGTTCTCTATAGGTTTAATGCAATGCCAATCAAAATCCCAACGGCATTTCTTGTAGAAATAGAGAAAGCAATCATGAAATTCATATGGAAAAATAAAAGACCCAGAATAGCAAAAACAATGCTAAGCAGGAAGTGTGAATCAGGCGGTATAGGGATACCAGACTTCAAACTATACTACAGAGCAATAGTAACAAAAACAGCATGGTACTGGTACCAAAACAGGCGGGTGAACCAATGGTACAGAATAGAGGACACAGAAACCAATCCACAAAACTACAACTATCTTATATTTGATAAAGGGGCTAAAAGCATGCAATGGAGGAAGGATAGCATCTTCAACAAATGGTGCTGGGGAAACTGGAAATCCATATGCAACAAAATGAAACTGAATCCCTTTCTCACCATGCACAAAAGTTAACTCAAAATGGATCAAGGAGCTTGATATCAAATCAGAGACACGGCGTCTGATAGAAGAAAAAGTTGGCTACGATCTACATACTGTGGGGTTGGGCTCCAAATTCCTCAATAGGACACCCATAGCACAAGAGTTAATAACTAGAATCAACAAATGGGACTTACTCAAACTAAAAAGTTTTTTCTCAGCAAAAGAAACAATAAGAGAGGTAAATAGGGAGCCTACATCCTGGGAACAAATCTTTACTCCTCACACTTCAGATAGAGCCCTAATATCCAGAGTATACAAAGAACTCAAAAAATTAAACAATAAGATAACAAATAACCGAATCAACAAATGGGCCAAGGACCTGAACAGACACTTCTCAGAGGAGGACATACAATCAATCAACAAGTACATGAAAAAATGCTCACCATCTCTAGCAGTCAGAGAAATGCAAATCAAAACCACCCTAAGATACCATCTCACTCCAGTAAGATTGGCAGCCATTATGAAGTCAAACAACAAGTGCTGGCGAGGATGTGGGGAAAAGGGTACACTTGTACATTGCTGGGTGGGACTGCAAATTGGTGCAGCCAATTTGGAAAGCAGTATGGAGATTTCTTGGAAAGCTAGGAATGGGACCACCATTTGACCCAGCTATTCCCCTTCTTGGTCTATTCCCTAAAGACCCAAAAAGAGCATGCTACAGGGACACTGCTACATCGATGTTCATAGCAGCACAATTCACAATAGCAAGACTGTGGAACCAACCTAGATGCCCTTCAATAGACGAATGGATAAAAAAAATGTGGCATTTATACACAATGGAGTATTACTCTGCATTAATAAATGACAAAATCATAGAGTTTGCAGGGAAATGGATGGCATTAGAGCAGATTATGCTAAATGAAGCTAGCCAATCCCTAAAAAACAAATGCCAAATGTCTTCTTTGATATAAGGAGAGTAACTAAGAACAGAGAAGGGACGAAGAGCATGAGAAGAAGATTAACATTAAACAGGGATGAGAGGTGGGAGGGAAGGGGGAGAGAAGGGAAATTGCATGGAAATGGAAGGAGACCCTCGGGGTTATACAAAATTACATACAAGAGGAAGTGAGGGGAAAGGGAAAAATAATACAAGAGGGAGAAATGAATGACAGTAGAGGGGGTAGAGAGAGAAGAGGGGAGGGGAGGGGGGATAGTAGAGGATAGAAAAGGCAGCAGAATACAACAGACACTAGTATGGCAATATGTAAATCAATGGATGTGTAACTGATGTGATTCTACAATCTGTATATGGATAAAAATGGGAGTTCATAACCACTTGAATCAAAGTGTGAAATATGATATATCAAGAACTATGTAATGTTTTGAAGAACCAACAATAAAAATATAAAAAAAAGAAAAATATTAATGAATTTAAAGTCATCACTAATGTTTTAAATAGTGAGATGCTACTGAAAAACAAATTAAGAGGAAGACAACTAATGATATCATTCAAAATGCAGCAAAGAGGAACAAGAAAATGAAAAATAGGAGAAATTATGTAACATGAAGGACTGAGTAAGAAAATCCATCGTTTTTGCAATCAGAGTCCTAGAATAGAGGAGAATCGGTATTTGAAGAGCTAGTGGCTGAGAATACTACAGAATATGAATTGTAAAATACAGGAAGACAGAATTTACCAAAAATAAAAAGAAATTAAAGTTCCAAACCTAGTAAGTCTATAACGTGGGGATGGGGGGGGGGGTAATTTTAAAAGCAGAGAGAGAAAAGGTAACCTGACAACCTAATTTTGAGACCCAAAGACATTGAAAGACTAAGTTAAGGCTATAAAATAAGTAGCAGAACTGATTACAACTCCTTAAAATTTTACTCCAGAAATTGTACTTCTATACTGAATGCCTAATTCTGGCTTCACTTTTAACAACTATTTCATCTTCAGTTTTAAACTGGCCCAAGGACATCATTATCCAAAGTACATGTATGAAGGCTCAAATTGGGTGTCAACATATTTTATATATAAACAGATATGAAAAATTGTGGTATATGTGTGTAATAAGAAGTGTAATGCAAAAAAAAAACAACAAAGTACATGTATAAAGGCATGAACTGGCGTGAACATACTCTATATATGAAAAATTGTACTCTATATGTGTAATAAGAACTGTAATGCATTCTGCTGTCGTGTATTTAAAAAAAAAAAATCAAAAAAAAAGAAAACCTGGTAAAACTTCTTAATGGTTAGTGAATTTTTCAAATCATAAGTAATCTGAAACTTACCTAAAATTTCCAATCTGGAAAAAAGTATCTTTCAGGCACTCCTCATTCACATTTTTGTGCTTTACTTTTAATATCTTTTTAAATTTTTTTTTAGTTGTCGGTAGACGTTTATTTTATTTATAATTCAGTGCTGAGAATTGAACCCAGTGCCTCACACCTGCTAGGCAAGCGTTCTACCACTGAGCCACAACCCCAGACCTTAATATCTTCTATTTAGATTATATCTGTAAAAATTATGAACTTGAGACCAGGACTCCTCAACTCAGTGCTGAGAGTTCCTCTTATATATTTTAGAAACATCCTCTATTCTTGTGAATTATAAAATGTCCTCAGTTTTATATGCAATTTTTAATCTAGCAAGCAAAGGGAGGGTGAAACAGGGCCCCCACCAAATTAGTAAAGGTCTATTTGTTTTTGCGAAGATATCCATACAATCATGTCCCAATGCAGAAAAGATTTAAAAAAATAAAATCCATTGCTCTTAGACCCTACAAACTGACTAGAAAGAAATGGATCCCTTCCATTACTAGTTTTCCACCACCTTGCCTTTTTTTTCTTTTTTTTTTTTTTTTTAAGTCAGGGTCTCGCTTAATTGCCCAGGCTGTACTTGAATTTGAGATCTAGAGATCCTACCTCAGCGGAATTACAGGTATATGCCATACATATGGCTACTACCTTGCATTTCTGATATCCATCTTTCCCTTAATACCCTTGCATGGAGAGTTCCTTCTACCACTGTCCTCTAAAATAAATACACACTCCTCCCACACCCAATACCCACCCTGGTGTTGGCCACACAATTTATTTATTCAAAATTTAATGAATGCCCTGTATGTACTAGGTATTGGGATAGGTTCTAAGTATATGAAAAAGTATTAATTGAGTATATATTGCCATGCTATTTTACAAGTAAACTTATGTACACAGTACTTTAAACAAAGATATTTACATTTTCAATAGGTTAGTTGGCAGGAGTTCTCATTTGACTATTAATAGGTTAAATTTCTAGACATTCCATTTTTCACAGGGGCAAAAATAAATAAATAAAAACCCTGTTCTTTATTCTAGCATGACAATGATTTGATGAGCCTATATTTTATATGCAAGCACATATGTCTTCTCCCGAATTTATGGAAAATGTACTAGTTCTGACCATGATATTCCTTTTATTGAAAAGCAACACAAAATAGCTGTGGAAATAAGAGAAAGATAATATTTTTACATTATTGCTTCTGTTAAGAGGATTTTTATGTTTTGTGCTGGAATTTACTTCCTGTAACAACTCTTGCTTTACCTGAACATTTTACATTGGACTGCTACATTATTATTAGTGTTTAATTTAGAAGAGCTTAATAAATTGCTAATCTGAGGACAATGATACTTTCTTTGCTTTTGTAGTCCTTTCTCTGAACATGCTTACTTATGTACAATGTGGAAATCTGATCCAGGTCTCCTCCACTCAGCCAACAGTTCTTTTTGTACCTCTTCTGGAAGTTCATAGAATACTTGAGGATCAATGACAGATGGAAAAATAATCTTCTCATCAGCAGAATCTTGCTCTCTATTTTCTGTGGATCCTTGACAAGAGGCTGTTGCTGTTATTTGCTTATGACTATCTGTAGCACAGCGTTTGGAAAAAAGTTGATCACTCTGCAAATTTGGAAATGAATGGAAAGCAGAAACAGCAGGCTTTGTATTTGAGAAGTGGAATCCTTCAGATTCTTTAGGTCCTTGACTCATTTGTTCATCTTTTAATTGATTATCTATATAATATGAATAATCCTTTGGGCTAGACAGGTAAGAGGAACTACTGCTACTTAAGCCTGATGTTCCTGGTTCACAAGGAGACACAGACTGTACCTGATTGTTACTGGATAAATTATCTCTAGAATTTAAGGATCTATCTTGCATTTGTTTTGTAGAAAAGAAAGATAATACTCCTCTGGAGGCATGTAATGGACAACTTAAACTTCCTTTCCCTTGAAATTTTTCTCTAAATTTTCCAGAAAGGATTTCTTCTTGAATATCTACTGGAAGCTGCTTGAAGACTTCTTGGTCAACACCCTCAGGAAGTGAACAGAGTGGGAATTCATTCATATCTTTTTCTTTAGAAAAATCTGTAGTATCTATTGGAGACTCGCCAGTTCTTGTACTTTCAATTCTTCCACTTGGTAGAAAATCCCAGTTTGTTTCTTTGTCTTTGGAAATATCTTCCATATGACTCTCTTTTATTTTCTAGAACACAAAAATAATAAAATAATTTGGATACCTGATACCTTTTTAAATAACCCTGCTGCTAGAAAATTCAATAAAAATTAAGTGTTCCATGAAGTTCTGGTATAGGCCTGAACAACAAAGGTGAGCAGTCAAACCGTTATGGAATGGAAGAAGCCAGACACAAAAGAACGCACTGTACTATTCTACTTGGAATCATCCCTACATATCTGGGGGACTGGTTCAAGGTCTTTCCCAGGATACCAAAATTCACAGCTGCAAAATAAACTAAAATAGTTGAACTGTATATTTAAATTAAGTGAGTTTCATGGTTTGTAAATAAAGTTTTTAATTTAATAAATAAATAAATAAACATCCCTGCTGCTGAAGTATGCCTGTAGTATTATCTACAGCAACCATTATGTTTCAAACCCATTCAGTACTTTGAATCCTTCGAGGCCAGTTTCAACAACTAGAGATGTTTAATCTATCACAATTAGTCACACTATTGTGTAGATCTTTACTCATTATTCCAGAAAGAGGTCTCCTTCCTACACAGCACTGAGCCAGGTAAATATGCCTTTAAAGATCTGGAAAGGACCTCATGGATTTAAAGGTCCAATTCTGTAAATAAAAGAATGGTGGACTAGAAAGAGTGATTCACTTAAAGGTATTTAAAAGAAAAAAAATACAGGCATGGAGATTCAACTACTGGTTTTGCAAAAATTATTGTTCTGAAAGATAATATTTAGCAGAGTATGGTGGTGCACACCTGAAATCTCAGTGACTCCTGGGAGCTGGGACAAGAGGATCCTTAGTTCAAGGCCAGTCTCTGCAACTTAGTGAGTCACTGTCTCAAAATAAAAAGGGTTGGGAATAGGGCTCAGTGATAAAATGCCCCTCAGTTTAATCCCCACTACCAAAAACCAAACAACAAGAACAACATTTAACAGAAAGAAAAAGGTGCTTTTATGGTAAAAATCCAATATTATTTTTAAGATAAATGTTTTATATAAAATTTAAAAATACTTCCAATTCTAATATGTATAATTTTTCTATAAAGTTTTTCACTTGAGTTTCCCTTCTAGTTTTAAGCAAAATAAAAATATATACAGTCAGGGGGTAGAAAAGATGGTGGAATGAGATGAACATCATTATCCTAGGTACATGTATGACTGCACATGTGGAGCGACTCTACATCATGTATAACCATGTGTTGTGCTCCATTTGTGTACAGTGAATTGAAATGCTCTGCTATCATAAATAACTAATTAGAATAAAAAATAAAAATTAGGGGCTGGGGTTGTGGCTCAGTGGCAGAGCACCATGTGTAAGGGACTGGGTTTGATCCTCAGCACCACATATAATTAAAAAAAATAAAGGTATATCAACAACTAAAAAATATTTTAAAATTTAAAAAAAAATAAATCAATTAAAAATTTTTTTTAAATGTATACAAATATAATAGCTTAGTAAACTTCAAGAATGTAAAGGGAGAAGAAGAAATTCAGACCAGTATGTTTATTGAGTATCTAGTGTATGCCAGATATATACAAGCTACTTTGACTTCTATTGACTTCACTAATGCCACTATAAATTAGAGACCTTTAATTTCCATCCTATGGATTAATTAAAATGTAATAATTAAATACCTTTTTAATTTCTAGTTAATAATGGAATGGAAAAATGATCACAGAATAAAGTAATCTAAATCTAAAATAAAGTAATCTAAATAGTATTTTCACAATACTATTCCATTCTCATTTTAAACTAAAAGTGGAAATAAAAATATTACTAAAATTATACTGATTAAAAATTTTAAAATAATATTTTAAATTAAGAGTTAATTATAGAGATTAACCACTTAGAAAAAGGTTATTTAATTATAAAGCATCCCATATTTATAAAATAGAGGTTTGCTTCTTTGGGACTGTGTTCTAGTCACTTGAAAATGTGACTGACTTCTGCCTCTGCTACCACACTATTAACTTTTAACAAATGTAAAATTAGTAGCAAATCCTTTCTTTTTTTAATATTTATTTATTTATTTTAGTTGTAGATGGATACAATGCCTTTATTTTATTTATTCATTCATTTTTATGTGGTGCTAAGAATTGAACCAGGGGCCTCGCACGTGCTAGGCAAGTGCTCTACCACTGAGCCACAACCCCTACCCCCAAATCAGTAGCAAATTCTAATGTTGCTATCAGAATTCAATTTAATTTCAAAACTAAGAAAATTTAAATACTTATAATAGTGTGCAAAACAAAGCTTGTACCATATGTAAAAACTGACCACAAAACGATCTGATTTCTAATTTCTGGAAATCTACTTCATATTTAGGAGCTAATCCATCATATTCCTGAATGCTATTAGAAAATGCATCCATACTTCCAAAGCAGAGAAGTTCCATAGTTTCTTCTCTAATCCAATATATTTCTACATAGATCACAATATATTTAAAGCCAGCAACCATTATATGATAGGCACCATTAACAACTAAATCATCTAAGCAATATCAGCCAAAAGAATCTAACACAAACTTAGATTTTTCATTTATCCACACAAGTCCAGTAAGAGTATACTTACAGTATACACAACAGTGTACTCACAGAACTGCGCTTGCCAGAACATGACGTTGTTGACAATGAGGATGTTAAATAATAATCCATGGGCCCTTTCTTAGTGGTATTTAGTGCTTTAAGGTTGCAGAGGCACACACTTAAAAGGGTAAGGTGAAAGGGCATTTTCACATTCACCATATTTCGAAAAAGTTTCATAAGTATATCCACCATTGGTGTCATCACATCATAATTTCCTGAAAAAGAATGTTTAAGACAGTATCTAAATAGTTTATATCATAATTAATTAATACTAAGAGATTACTGTAACTTATATTGCTTAGATTAAAAAATAAAAATCCTAATTGGCATTTTGACATTATATAATTATCACTTATTCCCTTTGAATTTAAGGGACTCTTTTTTTTTTTTTTTTTTTTTTTTTTTGGTGGTGGTACTGAGGATTGAACCCAGGGCTACCACTGAGCTACATCCCCAACTCTTTTTCTTTTAATTCTGAGAGAACGTCAGACAACAAAATTGCAATCCTCCTGCCTCAGCCTCCCTGGTGGCAGGGAGTACAGGTTTGGGGAAAAATTACTATTTTTATCTATCTATTTAAAAACATTTTCTAGTGAGAATTCCTGATAGAATTAAAGCATATAATTGCATGCCACACTGCACAAAGACCCACTCTCCTTTTGGGGAGCATATTTCTAATTCAAAAGTTTATTTTTAAAAGTCCAATGTTGGGCTGGGGTTGTGGCTCAGTGATAGAGTGCTTGCCTCACACGCGTGAGGCACTGAGTTCAATCCTCAGCACCACATACAAATAAATAAAATAAAAATATTGTGTCCATCTATAGCTAAAAAAATATTTTTAAAAAAAGTTCAATGTCAATTAAATTCTTAGAAAATAAGTCCATACCTGCCCCTAACTTCTGAATTACATGGGATGGAATAGGGCACTGACGACTCTCGCGACAACAGTACTTCTCTGATGAATACCTACGGATTACTAATCTTATTGTATGGGGTTTCCTTCCATCTCGGGATACTCTAAAATGGAAATAAAGAATTAGAAAAAGTACTGAATAATACTTCATTTATTGAAAGGTATAATACTGAGTAACTATCAAATTATACATTCAGTAGGTAAATAGTAAACAATAAATCTTCCAGAACACCCAAATAAATATCTCAGTTTATGCACTAAGACTATGAAATTGAAAATGACAGACTCATAGGCCTTACTCAGAATTGAGTGCTGTCAGAAATAGGACAGAAATACTATATAATCATAACAAGCTGTTTTATAATCCAAATCTAAAGCAGAATATTAACACCTGCAGGAAATCTGACACAAGCAAATAACTGGAAAATTAAAAGAGGAAAAAAAAATGTTTATAAAAAACAAGATTACTTCTGTTAAAGTAAAGGGCTTTCTGCAAATAGACCCAAGAGAGCCAGTAAGATCGCCATAATATGATGAAATTTTAAAGCAATAATTTGAAAGATCAGTTACATATTATATTTAGGAAGATTAATCATGTGCAAAGGGTCTTGGTTTTGGTGTTAAAACAAAAATTTTATTGGTAAGGAAAATTCACTTAAAAAGTAAAAATTTAATTATTGAGAACAGATGTCACTCAAAGATAACATTTTCCTTTTTATCTGCATAGCAATATACAAAGATAATGAAATCACAAACATGAAATGCAAATATTACACCTTGTTAAACATGCTCAAAATAACAATTCTAAAGTGAAAAAATTAGTTTTGTAGCAAATAACTTTTTTCTTTCTCTTACTGCTTTTCAGAAAAGTTTTTGATGGATGCATAACTAGGATAATAAAATGTCATAAGTGATGTTACTCCTTAAATATCTTTTAGTTAAATTTGTTCTTTTAAGTAATTGCACAATTCAAAGAGTGTGATATGCTAATTAGAGGAAGGTTAAATACTATTTTATTTTAAGCTAGTGCCTAGAGGATGAATTAAAGATTATATGATTTTTACATTTCTTTCATATCTGTAGAATTAATCATCATATACTCCAAAAGGAAAAAAAATAAGTAACTACTCATACATACACACACATAGTTATATTTTTTTTACCAGTCACTTAAATGCTATTGTAACTCCGTCATTGAACTAAGGAGCCCTGGTGTAGAATATGAGAACTGTCAAGAAGAGACATGGGTAGATGCTTAACATCTGCTATCTCACAGGTTTAGAGCACCTGGTCTCACATTTGGGTTAATGCTTCAAATAAGAGAACCTGTAAAACTTAACACTTTTGGGGATTTCTCTATGTGTAGAACTGTTTGCAATGGGCAGGCATTTCAGAATAGTCTTACACCTAGCTGAAGCTGAGCAGATAACCCAATTTCACTAGCACACTTCCCCCAAAGCCTGAGTCATACTGCTGGAGCTGGGTCACAGAGGCAGCCTCGATTGCATGCAGCAAACAATGAACTATATAGTTCTGCTGCACACATAAGCGGCACACTGCACATGACAGCAAAGTTGTAGGAAATATCACTTCATCAGTTTTCTGAAACTTAGAATCATCCCAGAACTGTTTACTGTTTACAGTTAGCCCTCCTAGAATCATTACAGAAGCATGCCTACTCTAAACTGTTAGATCTCTGACACCCAATTTAGAAATTTCTAACAACAAAAAGAATCAAGAAGTGAAAGAAAAAGAGATTAATAATCTTCTATGAAGTAAAGAGAAATACATCAAGAAATACGTGATGCCTACTAAGGAGCAACAGAAAACTAAATTTCCTTGCTCAGTTTGTTATGCTGTTTGTATATTCATAATCCCAGTAAACATATTATGTCAACTTGCAGATCAGAATCCCTGAACACACTTGCAGTCACTCATACATGGCCCCATAAGTATTCCTTCCTTTAACTCCATTTTCTTTTACATAGTCTGAGACAAAGAAAATACAAGGCTTCTCCTGCTTGGTCCATTATTATTGTTCTAATAACTTCCTGTGTTCAATAATCACGATCTATTCCTATGTGAGAAGTTTTAGAATTGTGAAAGAATTATTATTCCTCTCTGCATTTTTCCTTTTGTGGAAAAGCAAGTAATACTAAATTAAAAGCAAATGCTCAAAATTGCCATTAGGAAAAATTAAAACTTATTCCTTTTCACCTAAGGACTAGAATAGGTCTAGGAATATTAAGAGATATCCACAAAACCCCTTTTAGTAATAATATATAGCTTAAGAATCCACAGAATAACTGTTGTAACTGTGTTGTAACTGTGTATTAAGACTAAAGGAAGAAGATGTATTAAATTGGTTAACAGCACATAATAATGTCTTTGCAATAGTTTATAATACACAGAGATCAGTGGGAAAAAATCTATTAGGTCTAAACATTGAAAGAAAAAGAGATTAATACTATTCTGTGAAGTAAAGAGAAATACATGTATTAAGTTAACCTGTAACATCCAAGACACATCAAGAATTTTTTGCATGTATGTACTGCATAAAAATTATGTAGAATGTTTTGGCAAAATGGATTAATAATACCTGTTCAAAAGGTTAGCAAGTAGTTCTTCAATCTTTTTTTTAGCTTCGACTTCTGATGAACATTTTTTAAATGAATCTTCTTCACTAAAGGACTACCAAAGAAGCGTAAGTGAGCATTAATGTAAACTCAAATAAATATACCCAATTATCAATGAATATGTCAAATATATATTTAATACATTCTTTACTAACTTTACCTCTTGTGCTTAATTTGAATCATTTAGTACACTGTTACATTAACTCATCTTATTTGCAAGTAATTTGTACTCCACTAGAAAATATACTGAAAGTCAAGAAAACGACAAAGTTCTAGTACCAATTCCAAGTTTTACTTTATGACTAATGTGAGTCTCTTAATGCCCTAGGACTAGAATCTGAGTTTATACTTGAATAAATTATTTAGCCTATCTAAAATACAGCATCCTCATCTTAACAAAAAAGGAGAAAGAAAGGAAGGAACGAAGGGAGGGAGGAAAACAAACAATAGTACTGCCCACCTCCAAGGTTTGTTATGAAGATTAAATGGACTAATCAACATAAAGCACTTAGTAAAGTACTCTTTACATAGGCAGAAAAAGCCAATCAATTTTAACAGGGCGATGACATCTTTTTCCACTTATTAAATCACTGGACTATTCTGAAAATAAGATTTTTAAAGAATTAAAATATTTTGCCTTATGACCTATTAACAATAAGCTGTATTCAATCAAAGTAGCTAAGCTGAGATTATCAAGCATTAATGCTCTCAGGGTGTGGTGGTGCCTGCTATAATTCCAATTACTAAGGAGGCTGAGGCACGAGGATCACAAATTTGATGCCAGCCTGGGCAACTCAGCATAGTGGTTTGGATCTGGAATGTTCCCCCAAAAGTTCATGTGCTAGTCAATGCAAAAATGTTTAGAGATGAAAAGATTAAATTATGAGAGCTATAACCCCAAAAGGGGATAAATCCATTTGGTGGATTAATGATTTGAATTAATAATAGGCAGGTGGATCTTGCTGAAGGAAGACATCATTGGGGCTATGCCCTTGGGGACTATGTCTTGTCCCTGGTTCTTCCCCTCTCCTTCCCAGCTGCCATGAGTTGAGCAGCTCTCCTCAGCCACACCCTTCCACCACAGTGTTTTGCCTCACCACAGGCCCAGAGCAAAAGGCCAACTGAGACCCCTGAAACTGTGAGCCCAAAGTGAACTTTTCCTGCTCTAAGCAGTCCTTGTCCATCATTCTGCTGCAGCAACAAAAAGCTGAGTAACTTAGCAAGACCTGTCTCAAAAGAAAAGTTTAAAAAAGGGAGCTGGAGGTGTAGCTCTCTGTCAGAGAGCTTGCGTAGCATGCGCATGGCTTTGGTTCACTCCTCACTACCACAAAAAATGAACAAATAATGAATACATTAATGTTCAAGTTTCAACTTAAGAATATTTATTAATCTAATATAATAAAGCAGCAGCCTTCTCTTAGGAAAGGGAACATGAAAAGCAAACTACAATATTCTGAATATGCAAAACTGGAAATTTTTATCCAGATGTGACAACTAGTACAGTAAACATAAATAGTACACTACATATAACTAGAACATTAAATATAAATATCATTGCCACATACCTGAGGTGGTCCTGAAGGTGTCACAGGAGAGTTATCCTCTCCAAAACTGAGCTTCTGAATACGCTGAGCAACTGAAATTCCTAATTCCTTTTCTAATATTTTAGATGAAAAGGTTTGGAGATCATGCACACTATTGATTCCCAGTGCTTCAAGGCGTTTGGCAGTTTTATAGCCAATACCTAAACAAAAACAAATGCATATGGTGCTACAACAGCTTTCTTCCTTAAAATAAAGATAATTAAAATCTTAAAAATACATCAACCATATCTTAAGTTCCATAATTAATACTTTGCTAAGATCAAACTCAATTGCAAAGTAGATTATTATTCTTTCCTTCAGGGTCCCTGAGTAATATGTAGCTCCTTGAAGCACTCATAACATGTACTATTTGCAGTCAATACACTCTTTTGATAAAATGAAAATTTTACCACCTGTTCTGCAACACTGTGGAATAACTCAGGAATAATGTTTATTATTACTGTAAAAAGAAGAACCAAAATTGATTAATATATGCTTATGGGCTAACCTGATTTCTGTGCACAACATTACACTCATCCATAAATCACATATCTAGCAATATTTATCACCCAGAACACAACTAAGTGTGAAAAAATATAAAAACTAACAAAACCCCTACCACAAAGTTTTTGCACTAAAACTTATATTTTCTTCATCAGAGAAATAGGTCATTTAAAGTTCGTTCTTTCATTTTTAAAAAATATATTTATTCTTAAGTTTGAGGTGGACACAATATCTTTATTTTACATTTATGTAGTGTTGAGGATTGAACCCAGTACCTTGTGCATGCTAGGCGAGCACTCTAACACTGAGCCACAACCCCAACCCCTCTTACTGTCATTTAAAAAATAATAATTCTACAGTTATCTGGTTTCCTTGCAAAGTTAAAGCAATAAATCAGTGAAGACAGGCATGTAAGGGGAATTATTAAAATGTAGTGACAGGTATTTTTGCAGAAAAAAAAAAAAGGAGGCTTGGCAATTGGCAATGAGGGAAAAAGTAGAAAGCCTGTAAAAACAGATGCAATAATTCAAAAGGTAAAGTAAGAAAGAATGTCCTGCTTCAGTATATAGTCAGTTTATTATGATCTGACATTGTTCTTCAGAACACAGATCCAAAATCTCAAATTATAATTATACTACTTGCTAAGGAAGGCAAGGCATTATACAATTTATTTTGGAATCATACGGGCATAAGTTAAAAATGGGAAGCTATAACACTAAACAGTTAAGTTTCCGTTGTCTTAGAAATTCACTTCCACAGAAGTCTTTTATTACATCCTATTCCCCAACAAAGCAAAAGAAAAAAGTTCAACATATTATTGATGGTCTATAAAAATGCAGGTTATCTGATTTTCAAAGATACAAATTTGCCCTATGAACTGAATAGATCAGTGAATTTCTCGAGGAAATCCATTCCCTGATCTTTAGAATGAAGTATTTGTTTTAGAAGTTTGGAAGGTCCATTGTAGCCATACTATTTTATATATAAAAACTAAAGAGAATTAATAAATGTTAAACTCCCTTCTAGATGCAATGTACAGTACAAAAATATGAACCCAGGACTGCAAATCAAGGACTTTATGTTTCCAGGTTATCACTTGCATGATAAGAAACATAAAAGTACTTTTGTGTATTTCCTCATACAGATTTGCTCCATAAAACACTATAGTTTTTTCTCCAACAGCTAATTACCTCTAGAAATTGTTATTTACATCTATAATTTTTTATGATTAAAGAAATACAATAAAACATAATACATATTCTTCAATTATATTTGTCTTACCAGGCATTTTCTTTATATGGTTCAAACTATAAATGAGATCTTGACAACTTTCAGGTAACAAGACTGTTTGTTGATTTGGTTTAAAAACACCAGAAACTAATTTTGCCAATAGTTTATTACAAGCCACTCCAGCGCATCCAGTGAGCCCCAACTGATTATACATGGCTTCCCGCATTTCTGCTGCAATCTGAGATCCAATTAGTAGTCTGATGTGCATGATGTCATGCAGGTTTATAGCTAAAAAAAAAAAAAAAAAAAAGATACTGTTAAAAGTCACAAAAAAAAAAACATTTTCTGTTTTCTTTTTTAAAAAAGGATTTTTAAAAGATGCAGGGTTTAATTTATATCCAAACCCTCCTACCACTACTACTACCACCCTGCCATCCATTTGACTTATTTCTTTAGTTCTTCATAGGAACATTGTAAACAAATAATACAAGTGAATTCCAAGGGTCTGTGACATGAGTATACTGGGAGTACTTAATGATTTAACAGATTATAATATGAAAACTGATATCTTAAAAATTTTCTAGGGATATTAATAAAACTTAAATCCACACTCACCTATAAATATGCATAAGTTGTCATAAGAATGCTACCATTACAGCTTTAAAGATCTAAATCCACACTTTACATATTAGCTATATGTGATGCCAAAAATAATTTCTGGCCTATACATAGTTTAAGAGGTCTTTTATGAAAAAGGTAGGGAAATTACATAGAAACAAACTTTCTTAGGTGTAAAAATTTATATCGGACCATCCTTATCTCCAAGACTCAGCCTAGAAGGATTCAGGGATGAAGTGTCATAGTATCTACAATTTATTTCCAAATGGCTCATCAATCTATCAACTTTTCCACAAAGAGAGCAAAATAAAAAAAAAAATGGCAAATGAAAACTGGTTTATCTATAAGAGTGTAATTAAAAGGTATTTATTATATTATTCCATCAACTTTTCTGTAAGTTTGAAAACTTTTTAATAAAAGCTTATGTTGAAGAGGAAGAACTAATAAATGATTAGACATTTTCTATCTAAGATATAAAGTCTAGCTCTCTGTCCATGATATGTTCTAACTAATAAAGTCTGAATTTGCTTCAAAAATTATATAGAAGTTATGTCTGGAATCATCTTGCTAGTACTTAGCCCTTATTAAAAACAAAACCAAACACAACAAAAACAGCATAGGTACAAAAGACACACAACAAGCTTCTAGAAATTCATCTCTACCCCTTTTCTTCTGTGGAGAGCTATACTAGAGAAGGATAACCAGGCCTCACAACAGGTGGGGTTCGAGAAACACAAGTTAAGAACTATAACCAAAAGGATCAGGCAACTCTTACACAAAAGAAAAGCAGCTTGTCTTCTATTTGGTATAATATAAAAGTTACCAGCAGAGTCACAAAATGTATGAAAGCCTAATTAAATATTCACCAGCGCCTACTAAAGCTATTTTCAAATGCAAATGGAAATACCACCAGTGATTCAGGACTTACTATGTGAAGGAAGGAGACAGTTGGTAATAATTATTAGAGCTAATTAAATAGGAGCTTGAAGAAGATACAAGCACATGGCAGATGATGGGGAACAGACATGATAGGGGACAAACAGTTGTGAGGGATGGGAATATGAGGTTAAGGAAAAATTCCATATACTGGGCCCACTATGCTGACCCCCATAAGCTTCCCTTTAAAAAGCAATTTACCTGCAGCCCTGCCTGTTTTAAGTAAATAGGCTATATTACATCCATCAGCAAACAACTGGTTGTCTGCAAGAGACATGCAGGCCTGAAATGCTGAACACATTTATTCTGAAGGGGCAGGGGAGCAGATTGTGAACCACACACAGACCAGATCCCAGAAATCAGGGAGATAAAGATAGTTCTACCTAACCAGAAAATCTGTTAGAACAGTTTCCAATTAGAACTGGTCAGCATGAGCCAAAGTGACCTAGAATTATCATGCTCTGTGGGGACTTGAAAGTCTGATGGCATCCTCTGCTGTCAGTCAAAAGTCAAAAGGAAGACCTGAACAGGACTCTAAGGACACTTTAGACCTGGGACACCCCCCACCCAGCCCCACACTCCAATAAAACTAGAAGGTATGAGGGACATGCCATCTTCTCCTCTCTATGGAAACCAACTCTCTTTCTGGAGAGTGTTTCCTTTTCTATTTTCCTACCCTTTTAATAAACTCATACCCGCTACTCTGAATGACATGTCTGAAATCCTTCTGGCATGATTTTAAGAACCAGTGAGAAAAGACCTCCATGGCTGCCTTAGCTCCACAGTAGACCCTTGCCCTATAACAGCTGACAGGCCAGTGACAGGTAGGCCTGGAAAAGATTCCATGGGTGGTAGTCTGAAAAGTCAGAAGAGCACCATGAGAGTCTTATAGCCCCAGAGGAACAGAAGGGAAGTTCAGCCTACCTCAAAATTTTGCTTAGAGATAGTTTCAGGAGAATCAAAAATTATTCTAAAAAACAGTAACAAGTTGACTGCTATAACTTAAGGGTGACCTAAAGAGGGACTCTTAAAAATGTGAACAGATATACTATGTCAAAGAGATGAAAACTGCACAGATCTACATGTCATCAAAATCTTATTTTCTACATATTTGATATGGAATAGCAATATCTGATTTTAGATATCTTAGATTACTGACCAAAAAAGTCATAAATCTAACAGAATGTCACAATAAACTCAATGAACATTAAAAAATGTATAGACTTAGGCTGGGGCTGGGGCTCAGTGGTAGTGCACTTGCCTGGCATATGTGAGACACTGGGTTTAATTTTTAGCACCAAATAAATAAATAAATGATAAAGATTAAAAAAAAAGTATAACTTTTAGTTAGTAAGTGGAAGGAATAACACTCACGCTGATTATTATACACATGACCTGACACAGTCAATGCAGAAAGTTCATCACTTTGAAGTTGCTGGAGTTTCTTTTCAACTATTTCTGTTAGATCCACAAAATTTTCATCAAATCCAAGTCTCTCAACAACTGGACTAAATTCTTCCAACAATTCTAAATCAAAATAATATTGGTGCAGAGGTGTAATTAAAGTTACAACTAGAAAAGATTTAATGCTTAAAAATATACCAAATACATAATTAAAGGTTTTATATATATTCACAATTCCATAATATCTTTAATGAAAAGTCTCAGTTAACTGTTATCTTTGTTTTTCTGTACCATATTTTGAGTAGAGGCAATATTTCCCAACAAAACAAGTCTAAAAATGACATTCTCAGAGCAGTTCCTCATAGAAATACATTTTTAGCTCAATCTTCTATATGTAAACTTTCTATATCTGTAGTACATTAAATGCCAATGATTATAGTTAATTATAATCTTGAAGCACTATGTGAAAGAATAAATTATAAACTGCTTAGGAAAGTAAAAACAAGTAATAATATATTTTACCTATGTATATTCTCCACAACAGTTTAGGCAAAGCAAAATTTAAAACTTCCACTTATTAGACAGCCGTGGTGGCACATGCTTGTAATCCCAACAGCTTGGGAGGCTGAGGCAGGAGGATTGAGAGTTCAAAGCTAGCCTCAGCAAAAAGATAGATGCTAAGCAACTCAGTGAGACCGTGTATCTTAAATAAAATACAAAATAGGGCTGGGGATGTGGTTAAATAGTTGAGTGCCCCTGAGTTCAATCCCTGGTACCAAACAAAACAAAACAAAAAAATTTTTTTTTGACTTATTACTGAGTCAAACAGAAAAGTCACTTAACAATATATAACAGTATTTTGATTGGCCATTCCCAAACATATGCCTTAAGCGTAAAATGGCAGATATGGACCACAACTTGCAGCTATTCACATGTGCAGCATCTGCAAACTACCTAGTCCATAAGTCAAATTTTACTAAATTGAATTTAACATGTAGAATAAATTCAAAAGGACTGTCAATTCTCATATGCAAGAATTAATAATAACTTTAAAATCATTTAGAAGAACTATTTTCTTCCCCCCTGAATCACCTTCTATTGAGACCTGTTGGATGTCAGAAAACAGTAGATCTTCAATATTCAGAGGACTGGTTCCAGAACCACTCCCAAGGAAACCAAAATCTGAAGATGCTCAAGACCCATATATAAAACGGCACGATATTTGCATATATCCTATACATATTCTCCTGTAAGTTTCAAATCATCTATACTTACAGTATCTTATATAATGTAAATAGTCTTATGCTGTATTGTTTAGGGAATAATGACATGATAAAAAAGTCTGTTATGATTTCAGTACTGAAGCCTTTTTTTTTTTTTTCAAATCCACAGGTTCAATCTACAGATGCAGAACCCATGGAGAGCCAACTGTATGGCTCTGAGCATACAAAAACGCATATATTCTTAAGGTGCCATAATCTGAAGACTCAGAATAAAAGGACTAAATAATTCCTCACTGATCACTTTTTTACAAAAATACTAAGTTATTTTATTTTACTAATACTAACATAGATATTTAAAGGGAAAACAATAAAGGTAATAACGTGGGGCTTGGGTATAGCTCAGTGGTAAAGCCCTTATCTACCATGTACAAGGCCCTGGGTTCAAACCCCAGCACAGAAAAATGAAAAACAATGTGACTTGTGAACACCAAATATAACTCCAGCCTACACAGAGAAAGCTATTATCTCCTTTGAGGAGAGACTGACAGTGTGTCTGATTATATAAGATTGTTTTGTACTTCGTTCATCAATTTCTGTAATTTTTTTTCAAAAGTATCTACCTGACATCCAAAAGTCATGTAGGAAATAAAACCTTTTATCAAAAGAATGTAGAAAAAAAGAATCAAAGTTTTAAGCAGAAAAATAAGTCAAATACAGAGTAATGCACAAAGCTGGTCAACCACTAAATATTTTTTAACACATTGTTCTATCACTGGGTCACAGGGACAAATCATTTAACTATCCCATTCCTGAAAATTAATCTCTTTTCTATCAATTATGAACCAGGCTAAAATAAATCTTTTTCTATACATGTTATTTATGTACTTATAATTTTATTTCTATTTGATGAATACTCAGCAATGATATCACTGGTTTGAAGAATATTAATCTTTAGTTTCTCATGTGTGTGTGTGCGTGTGTGTGTTAAGGATTAAATGCAGGGCCTTGCACATGCTAGGCAAACTATCATCTCCACCCTTTATCTTTAATAAATGTTTCTTGATTGCTTTTTTAAAAAGCTACAATACTTTATATTTCTACTTTTTGTCACATTTTTTGACAAGTATCACCAACATAAAATAATGTCTTACTAATTCAAGTTTCCTTAGCCAGTAATAAATTTGAGCTTTTTTCCCATATAATTGTTAGATACTGAATTTGCTCTTCTTTGTCAACTGCTTACTCACATTCTTTGTTCACTTTTATTGTTTCTTTTTCTTAAGTTGTAGGAGCTCTCTATATATTATAGATATTAACCCTTTACATATAAAAACTGCTACAATTAACAAAAGAAAAACGAGCAAAAACAATTGAAAAGACAGTATAAGCTAGTCACAGTGGGGCATATCTATAATCCCACCAACTCAGAAGGCTGAGGCAGGAGGATCACCAGTCTCAGCAATTTAACAAGATCCTGTCTAAAAATTTTAAAAGGGATGGGGATACAGCTCAGTGGTAGAGTGTCCTGGGTTAATGATGATGATGATAATAATAAAAACACAAAGTTGATTCTTACACATTTTTAAAAATATGTATTTGTAATATAACAATGTACAAGCATTTTCCTTTTATTTTCCTCTAATTCACTAGAACACTAAGATTCACACTCAAGCCTCAGCATAAGGGAGTTCAGTAGCTACAGTGTAATATGTAGTGTATGTGTATGTGTGTGTGTGTGTGTGTGTACACAAAAAGACTAATATAGCCATTATTTTTGCTAATATTTCTTAAGAAATCAGTTTTTAATTATGCTAACCAAAAATTACAAACACTTCTTTGAATTATCATCAGTACATTAGAAAACAATGTATTTCTTCATAATTCATGTAAGCTTAAAATTTAAAATTTACAGTATGTCTTTACAGTATATCTTCTGATTTTATCACTTATAAACTTTATATTTCCTGTTATTTATATAAACACTAGTCACAACAGAATTCAAATTACTTACCAACATTATTCATAATATAGAAAGCCACTCTTTTATATAATTTTTAAAGTGGAAAAGACCCATAATAAAAAGCTATTAGGAAAAAGGAATCTGGTTTATGGCACTTTATTAAGATTTATAAAATTATTTAAGTGAATAGGCATCCTACATAAAAATTAATACTAAAAATAGATTGCCTATACTTTGTACCTGTAACCTTATAAGACATCTCCCTATAACGGGTCAAGTCTTCTCCATTAACCAATACAAGTTGTGGACATTTTTCTTTTGCATCTCTGACATTCATAAGTTTTGTAACTCCAAGTTTCCTGGCTTCATAGTTGCAAGTAACCACCAAATATTTCTGCTGAACACCTATAAAAAATAAAAATTCTGTAAGAAAAATCAAGCAGGATTATACAAACATTTTAAAACATAATTTACTACTTCCATGTTATAATTGTCTGAGCTATAAGAATAGCATGTGCTTTTGTTAAGGATAAAAAGGTGTCTCAGTTTTAAAAAGTAGATTCTGTTCATTAAAATTCTACAAAGAATCAGGTTTTTGAGCTATCTCCTACTTATGAAAAGTATTTTCCCATATCATACTTTTAAGCTTTGGATATTTGTCTATTTGGGGAAAAAGTTATTATTAAACAGAAAAACAATACATAAAAGTAGTATAAATCACCTGTTAGAATTCGGACCGATTATTTATACAAAAGCTAGATGTGTATATTCCTCAAATTTAGCAAAAATTACCATAAATCAATAAATATAGTCTAAAAATTCTCAGTGATAAGACAGAAATCAAATCCTTCTTAAAATGTTTTCAGACAGTACAAAATCTGCTTGGTTTATACTGCCATATCTATAGCTCCAGGTATGTTGACCAAAAAATAAGCCAGCTGAAAATAATTGAGTACAATTAAATACTGGTTGCTACTAGAAAAACTCATTTGTCTGCCAATGAACAAAAGAATGTTCTGTTACAATTGGCAAGCTACAGCAACTGTTAGGGGTATCTCCCCAGTAATTATCCTAGTACTGAACTTTTCTTTATAGTTATCTGCTGATGATTCAGTAGGGCATTATGAGCTCCCTATCAAAATGAATACAATATGATCATCTACAGACTGAATAAAAATTCTAGTTTATTGGTGACTTAGATTGCTAAAATTGTTTTTCTCTTTTTAAACAAGTTGACTACTTCATGCCACTATAATAATGTTTATCAAAAATATGTAAAATGCATCTCCAGTACACACACAAAAAAGTAAAACGCAAACATATAGAAGAAAAACAATAGTTATATCCATTTCCATTACACATCTGTTTTTAAATTTGGGGTATTATAAAGAAGACAAAAAACATTATTTGCACATAAAGTTTTCTTATATATCAGATTATACCCCAAAATAAATGTCAAATAAAACATTCATCAGTGAACTAATATGAAAAAATCAGACTAGTAAATTCCTTAACTAAAAAGTCTTTTTTAAAAAAAAAAAAAACTTTTTTTATTTGAGACAGGATCTTGCTAAGTATCTTATGGCCTCGATAAATTGCTGAGGCTGGCTTTGAACTTGGAATCCTCCTGCCTCAGCCTCCCAAGTCGCTGGGATTACAGGCACGCATGACCATATCTGGTCTTTTAATGCAGAATACACTATATGAACTCCACATGGTATGTCACAACAATATTTGTTTAGAATAAAAAAAAATCACTGGGGCTGGGGTTGTGGTTCAGCAGTAGAGCGCTCGCCTAGATCGGACCAGGTCCTGGGTTCAATCCTCAGCCCCACATAAAAATTTAATTAAAGATATTATATCCAACTATAACTAAAAAGTAAATATTAAAAAAAAAAAAAACATTACTTTTGTTTTCTCCAGGAAACTTTCAGCAGTCACAACTTTTATTTCATGTCCATAATTTGTACATCTTAATCACACAATACTTTTTATTAAGCATAATCTACACAGCATTTTGTTATAATACTACTAATTAGACATGCCTTTAGAAGAAATCATTTAGGTCCTCTGACCCTAAAAACTTAAAGACATTCTAGGAAAGTTTAAAGATCCTGGCCTCTCTGCCTAGCACAGTAGCAGGCCTGTAATCCCAGCTACTCAGGAGCCCAAGGAAGGAGGATCCAAATTCCACTCTAGGCAATGTAGCTAAATAGTGAAGTCTCTCCCAGGGTCAGTGGGTTCAATTTCCAGTGTCACACACACTAAAACACACAAAAATGCCAGCTTCACTTTGGCATACCAAAAACTAGCTACTCCTTTGTTCTTTAGTAAAATCAATAAAACGAGATTTGTATTTATTAAGCCAATCTAGGCACAAGAAGATAGCAGCCAAGAGAACCAAAATAATTTTCTAAGTTTATAAAATATCCTTCCTGCACACATGAAGGAAAAAAATCTCTGCTCTCCCAATTTAAGGTACAATAAAAATGTTAATAAAACATGCCAGAATATCAGTAAGCTAATCCTCAATGCAAAATTTCTCCTTGCCTTTAATTTTAAAAGATGCTTGTTATTATGAAATGCTTGCTCTATCTAAATATTTAAGGTTCTGCTTAAAATTCAACTGTTTGTTAGACATTAATATTCAACTCATACATTTAATTTGCAAAAGAGGAAGATGAAAACTTCCATTAAAAATGTAACAAAAATAACAAGATTGTTTTTGAGCTCCAAGACCTATAAAGTTTGAAATACTGAGTAAAAGCAATCTGACAGACATGGTGGTGCACACCTATAATTCCAGTTACTTGGGAAGCTGACATAAGAGGATCACAAGGTTAAGAACAGCCTGGACAATTTAGCCAGACTCTGTCTCAAAATAAAAAATTAAAAAGGCTAGGGACGTAGCTCAGCAGTAAAGCGCCACAGGGTTTGATTCCCAGTATTGCAAAAAAGAAAAATAAGAAATCTGCCTAGAGAACTAAATTATAACATAGAATATTAACATACAAGACCAAAACTTTATGCTGCTTTCTGTTAATTTGTTCAGTTATGCTAGTCTCAGATTCACCATTTCTTATATAAGGTTTATGAGGTTTACACTTGGTAGAAAAGCAAAGGTAACTGTAAGAATGGCTTCCAGGTAGGCATGGTGGCACACACCTATAATCCCAGCAACTCCAGAAGCTGAGGCAGGAGGATTCCAAGTTCCAGGCCAGTTTTAGCAACTTAGCAACTTAGGGAGACCCTGTCTCAAATTTAAAAATTTGAAAAAAAAAAAAGGACTGGGATATACTTCAGTGATGAAGCACCCTTGGGTTCAATACCTAGTATGGAGGACAAAAAAGGCTTCCAAAAAAAAATCTTTCTTAATAAATCAGAATACAGTGACATAAAGAGTAGCCCATTTTATCATTATACAACAAAAATACTATCAATATGAATAATTACCTAAAGGTTTGTCCTTTAATTCTGGGTTTGAGATCATTTCTACTTGCGCATAAAAGCAATCCAGATCCACATGTATTATGACTCTGGATGAAGAATTTTGTGTTGGCACCACTTGATCATGAACTGCTGCACAATATGCAAAAAAGAAATACATATATTCAGGCTGTAAATCATTTTTGAGCAACTGACACTTTCTAAAAACATTTTATCTGGGAAAGAATCCACAGAGTAGTTTTAAGTTATTTTCTTGGATTTATTATTTGTCAAAGCAGCTACAAATCACATGAAACTCTACAGCAGGGTCTTCAGTCCTATTTACTGAATTAGCATATCTTTGTGCACTACATTTTTCTCAGTATAGTAATTTGAGAGGGAAAAATCTGATCAATGAATGATGCAAAAGGCAATGCTATCACTTAGAAGTATAGAGTAACTAAACCAGAAAAGGCAGAAAAGCTGAAACAATGTTAATTGTCCACCAACTTAAAGATGATTCCAAGTGACCTGTCCCTAAAATTCAAAAAAGAAAGAAATTTTGAAATACAAAATAACAATCTAGGAGCTGGAGTTGTAGCTCAGTGGTAGAGCATGGGTGAGGCACTGCCTTTGATCTTCAGCACCACATTAAAAAAATAACTAAATAAAGTTATTGTGTCCATCCTACAACTAAAAATATTTTTTTAAAAAAATAATAACAATCTGTGGGTTCCAGTGAACTCTATTTAGCTTTCACAGGATAGCTAGATTGCCTGTTTGAATGCTAAAACCCCACTGCCTAGAACTGCACCTTGGGTAAACAGATTACCAATAAATATTCACAAAGTTGAAACAATGATTATTTTCTAGATTTTAAAAACTAGGGGCTGAACCAGGAGCTGTGGTGCATATCAATAATCCCAGCAACTGAGAAGGTTGTGGCAGGAGGATTGCCAAATTCAAAATAAAACAGATGGGGAGGGGTACAGCCCGGTGGTAGAGTATTCCTGGATTATACCTCCAGACTTCAATCAATCAATCAATGTAATGTGGTATTATACTGTGGGTCCTGGAACAGAAAAAGAGTATCAGTGGGAAAACTGGCAAAATATGAATATAGTGTGACCTTCAGTGAGGAGTATATCAATTTTAATAAATGCATCATGGTCATGTGAGATATTAACATTTGGGAAAATCTCTCACACTTTTCTGTAAATCTACTCTCCTGCCCTCAGCCAAAAACAAAAACAGGGGATGAGAACCAGGGCCTTTGCCTTCAGACCCTGGAGTCCTGAGCTCCAAGATAGAGGCGAGAGCCTGGAGGTGGGTCCCCAGAGAACAGACCACAGCTGACTGGCCAGGTTCGGAGCCATTCCTTCCTACCTGGGCTGAGCCCAGAACTCGACCTCTGCTAAGCAGGCGAACTGTGGGCAGCTGCTCCAACGTGACACCTCCAGGGAACCTCTGCAGTTTTCACCAGGCTGGCCGTGCGACTCCGGCCCGGCCCCCCGACTCCAGGGGTGGACAGAAGGTACAGATGCACCCTGGACGCGCACGTGTAGGCCCCAGGCGCCCTCCCCTACTCCTACTGGGGGAAGCCATCCCTCTCGAGGTTCTGACCTCGAAACACGAGGCAAAGAAAGACAGTATTCTAGGTGGGGAAGACGAACGGGACCAAGCGGGGCAGGGACCGTCGCGTCCCAACGGCCACCGCCCGGAGCAGCCTCCGCCCGCCCCGCCCCAACCTTCTCATTTACACCCGGCGGGGCCACCGGGCTGCTCAGGCCCCGACGCACCCTGCGAAGAGCCAGCCGCCCCCGCGTCCGCCAGCTCCATGGCCGGGGCCAGTCCTCTTCCTCGCCGCCGCCACTTTCCTCCTCGGGCTCCGCCCCCAACTTCTCCGGGCCGCTGGGCCAACCGCAGCGCAGCTTCCGGCTTCCGCCCGGTCGCCAAGGAAACCGCGGGCCGACTGCGGCCAGCCGCTGGGGTCCTAGCGCCGGCTGGGTGGTGGCCGACCAGCGTGCTGCCCGGAGTGAGCGCTGCCCACGTGCTGGACTTTGCCGCAGCCCAGTCAAGGCCGGAAGTGAGGGCGTGACATTCCGAAAGGCTCTTTTTTTTTTTTTCCCCTTGAGGACTTTGGTGTTAGACATACTGCACAAATTTTAGTTTTTTATCTTTGCTCTGTTCACCTGATCACTTGTTCACAAAATGGCCAGTCCCTGAGCCTGAGGGATTAGTGATGATGGGGAAGAGGAAAGGATGTCAATTATAGTAAAAACAAGGGGGTTATGTAAGTTTAGCAAGTATTGTAAGTTACATTGGGTTTATTTTACTTAGAGACCGGAATATAGTGGATTCCTGAATTTTTGACATCAAAACTGAATAGGACTTTGATACATGAATTTTGGAGTCAGATAAAAATCTCTCATCTGCGTCTTGCTCACTGTGGGACTTTGGGCAGATTAAGCAACAGCTCTGAGTCTCAGTTGCTCCCCAATTAAAAAAGAAAATCGTTGAATAACAAATAAAGTAGTTTAATATTCCAGTGTATCTAAAGCACCTGAAACAGGAGGCAGGTTCAAGATTAGTTCTTTGCCTCCTATTAGGATGTCATGTGTGCCTCTGTGTTGGTAATTTTTTCCATGTATTCCTTACAAAAGAGGAAAATCTAAACCAATCTCTCTCCTTCCCGGCCTCCCTCCCCCACCACCCCCCTTGTTTTCTCGACCTTGACTAAAAACAGGATGATTGTGGAGAGATGGAATGTTGCAGGTCAAGAGCCAAAATTCTCTTGGACTACTGTAGGCCCTGTAACCATTTACTTTTAACCTTTGTATCTGACCTAACATTCTCATCCAAATTAATTGTTAATTTTCACAGACCACCAACCTCCACTGAATGCTATAATATCTGGAGACTATAGGAGAGATTTTTCAAGCTCTGCTGTTGTCCATTTCACGAATGTATTTATCAATTGTATTGATTTATGACTTTTTTTATGTAACCTCTTTCATTTCATGTGGTTAAGGGTAACTTGGATCCATGTTCCCAGGCTTTGGTTACTCATATTTGATTAAGAAGCTATTTTCTTATTTCCTTTAAAGCTGAAGATTTCTGTTTTGGTTTTGCTTTCCTCTCTTCATATTGGGAATTAAACCTAGGACCTCATGCATACTAGGTAAAGAAGAATTCTTATTTTATGTCAACAATTTTAATATATACATATAAATTTATGTGTGTATATGTATACCCACATGTGTATATTTGTGTTAAAATAGGTATATACATATTTTAACATTCTGTTTTTCATATGATTCTGTTTCTTATTAAACAAGATGCAAGAACCTTGAGAAGTCCTACAAAGGCCATGTTTGATGCATCCATAAAGAAGGAATAGAGAGTTGGAGCTCAGTGGTTTGGAGACCCAGTCTTTCTCTTTCTTAGACATCTGTAGCAGTTCCCTAAAAGTCTGCATAGGATCTAAATCACCTGTTAAGAGATAGCCCTGCATTCTTTGTGAATACTGTTTGATAAGTCCAAATAAAGTGCTTTAGAATCAAGTGCCTCTTGGGCTATAAATCAAGGGTCCTGTTACTTCTAAAAAAGGGCTTTTTTTTTTTTTTAATTCTTCCAGATTGAGGATGATGCAAACCACTGCAGTATCCTAGCAGATGAAAACAGTCCCTTTAGAAGAGACCTAGGCCAACACTGAAAAAAACCACAGTTGCACTTATTTCCTGATTCGTTTTGAAGATTGGAATTTCATATAGTGGAAGGTAGACAGGTGGACCCTGGGAAACTCCAGGAGAATAAGCAGTGCTAGCTATATGAATAAATAACCGAGGCAGTCACATGGGGCCCCGCTTAGAAGAGTCCCACACTTGGTTTAAGGTTCTGCTGTTGTCTTGAAATGTTTAAGCAAGAGACCCTTCATTTTTAATCTGCATGGAGCCCCATGAATTATTCAGCCAGTGTTAGGAACAAGGAAGGGCTGCATAGAAAATGTCACTTACCAGATACATGTATATCAGGCATGGAGCTTAGAGCTTGAACAGGTCATTTATTTCAATATAAGAGCTCTGGAGGGTAGATATCATTGTTCTCATTTTACTAAAGATGAAACAGATTAGGAGAAATGAAGGTGCTTGCTTGAGTTTATGAATTCAGTAATGGGTCCACTTTTCAGAGTTCTCCACAAGGAAGAATTACTTAATGATATTTCTCCATAGAAGAAATCAGCTCCCTCTGGCTGTTTTCTTTGGTACTTCAAATAGCAGATGACTTGTAGTGGGGAGAATAAACATCCCTCAAGTATATTAGGATACATAAAAATAAAAGTTATGTGAGCCATCATATGTTGCTTTATTGAGTATTTTAGGAAAAGAATTGTTTTCTTAATTCTGTAAATCTCTCCCCAGGGTTTTAACTAATAGGCTAAAATTCAGGATGGTTTCAGGAAATAAATATCTTGAACTTGGATCATAATTGTGTATTTAAGAGCCAAATGAGAAAAACACTTGTGAGGCAGAATAAATATTGTTAATTAAATAAAATCACGGTTGAAACAATATTCATGGGGAACCTAGGACTGCAGAGCAAGGCTAGTGGATGAAGACACTGAGGACATCCAGGTGTGGTCACATATACCTATAGTCCTGGCTACCTGGGAAGCTGAGACAGGAGGATCCTTTGAACCCAGAAATTTGAGACCAACCTGGGCAACATAGCAAGAACTTCTTCTCTTAAAAAGAGAAGAAGAAGCTGCTGAGAGCCATAGCCAAGTAGAAATGACTCATAGCATTTTTGGTTGAAGGTGACGCCAGCAAGCCATTGAGATGATAATGGTTATGTAAAGATGTGTATTCAATTGGATATTAGACCCCTGCTGTCTGTCTGGGCCTGCTACTTTGGAGCTCTCGCGGGGTTTCCTGGAGAGTTCCCATTGGTTGAGGAAGTGCGGTAGGAGGGATTTCCGGTTGGTGTGGCGTGTCCTGGGAGAAGACCGGGTCCGTGGCTTTTGGGGGAGTTTTGGAAATAAAATTTGTTCCTACTTGAGTGGCTCGTGATTTTGTGCCCAGCCAGACTGCGGCAAGAAGCAGCTAGGGATAGTTCAGAGCATTAGAAGTCAAGACGTTATGAACATTAAGGACATTAAAAGGGATAAGAATGACCACTTGGGGAGGTGGTTGTGGCTCAAGCGGTAGCGCACTCACCTGGCATGCACAGGGCGCTGGGTTCGATCCTTAGCACCACACAAAAAATAAAGATATTGTGTCCGAAAGCTAAAAAATAAGTATATATTAAAAAATTAAAAAAAAAGAATGACCACTCATTTCAGTAATGAATGTGAACAGTGACTGCTTCTCTCCTCCCTAGCCAAATTGGCCACATATAATTGAGAGGACGAATCCTAGACAATATTCAAAGGCTTTAACATGAAGAATATGAGGGGAACAGGGCTGGGGATATAGTTCATTTGTAGTGCTTGCCTAGCATGCAAGATGACCTGGATTCTATCCCTAGTACCACCAGGAAAAAAAAAAAAAAAGAAGGGAACTTGAGTGAGTGTCTGTATTTATTCTCATAGAAAAGGATTGGTTTTGTAGGGTCTTTGGCTTATTGCGGTAGCTCTCAACAGAGAATGATTTTTTTACCTTAAAGAATGTTTAGCAGTGTCTGGAGACATTTTTGGTGGTCACATTTGGTGTTTGGAGCTCTGCGCTACTGTCATCTAATGGAAGAGGCCAGGATGTTGCTGAACATCCTGCAAAGGATTGGATATACCCCCACAACAAAGAATTATTCAGCCCAAAATGTTAGTTGGTCCAAGGTTGGTATCCTAGTAGTGTCTATACCACCTTGCTCCCAACTACCCTCTTCACATTAAACTTTCTAGTTGTAATGAATAATTGGCCTTCAGTTAGCTTTTAATTATAAATTGGAGTTTATTTTAAGTTTTGTTGTGTTATAAATAAGACATTTTAGAAAATGGAGGGCAAAAAGGGAAAAACAAGTATTTAATTTCTTTAACTATGGGAATTTACATTCTTTGTCTAAAAAACAGGTATTTTGACTTGCAAAGATATTTAAGAAAAATATTAGGTCTTTTATGGAGCTTGTGAGTTGCCCCTAGGGTAAAAGCCTAATGACTCAGAACTAATTTAAAAGGCTAAGAAGCCCAAACCAGAAAACACAGAAAGGCTTTGGATGATTGGAAGCAAACTATAATTACGCTACACGGGCTGATGTACAAGGTTCATGTCGTGGAGCATTTACTTAATAACTTTCATCCAAAGGTCTCAAATCCTTGGCATAAACACTTAAATTGTCATAAAGAAAATCTCTCTTTTTGCTACCACATTGCAACTTCAAGCTTTTTCTGTGTAACCTGAAAGCATTTGTTATGAGCCATTTTAGGGCTAAGTTTTTCTAACAGTCAGCTTCTCCTTGCTTTGACCTTTCATTGTGGTTCTGTTAAGTCTGATGAAAACCTGCATAGTCATTTTGGTAATGACATTTTTAATGTTGCTTGCCAAAATATGCTCCACTGGCCCAGTCTTGTCATTTTGGATGGAGAGAGGTGAGGACCAATGTGATCACAATGTAAATCATTTGGTTCTAGTGTATAAATAAAAATCTGCAAGGCTTAGTCATTGGAAGAGAACTACTTGATATCATATAGAAATCATAAGCAGATTGACATAGAACAGGTATACCGTGTTAAATTAGAGACATTTAATTTAATGTAACAATTTTTTTAAAAGAATCTCTTTTCTGATAACAAAAGTAACATGATTATTATGACGCATTTGGAAAATATAGAAAGGAGCTAAGAAGAAAATGAACATAGACTGTAATAACCCATAACCTTGGTGCTCAAAGATAACCATACTTCATAGTCCTTCCATAAAGCACAACTTAAAATGAAACTTTTGTTTTATTTCACCAGTGAG